ACCTCATTTCATCTAGAATTCATATTGTGATAAAATGCTTTAGTAATTTTTTTAAAAGAGTTTTTAAGACCTTTCTTATTGTAAAAACCAAATTTTAGATTTAATCCGTTACTGCCTCCACCAAATTTGAGTGCTCCACCACCTGCTGTGAGGCTTGGCCTGCCAAATACGAATGTACCTCCTCCTTCATACAGTGTCCCTCCTCCAGGGTTCACGCAACCACCGCCTGGTTTCCCACCTCCCAGATTTGGGCCGCCTGGTGAGATTGTCTTTGCCTGTTTTGAATCATTCAAACTGTTCTTTTTACTCACTTTGCTGTTTATTGTAGGTGTAACGGGACCACCACCGATAAGTCGCCCTCCACCATTGATGGGACGACCAGCGTATCCTCCACCGGGTGTGGAAGGTCGTAGAGACTCCAGAGAAACTGAGGAGAGGGATCGTGAAAGAGGACGAGACCGTGACAGGGAAAGAGATAGAGATCGCGATTCAGGTGATAGGTAACGAAACCTTTCAGAGATTTGGTTCTGGTTTCACAATATTTATCATCGAGACATAAAGGAGAAGTACGGGTCTAAGATTTAGCCCTCAACTTTTTGACCTCATCTCTTTCTATTACTTTCGCATCATTAGATTAGCTAATAGTACTGTGCCTTTTTTGGAATTTGTAGTTTTTTATGAAACTTAATTTTTGAGAATTGATTAGGGAGCTTAATACCTGTGGAGGTATTAAACTTTGTGCCTCAACTGTCATGTAGTTTTTTTAAATTAATTTAAAGTATTTTTTTAACCCGCCTTTTTTTAAGTTTTAAAAAAATTGCTGTATACAGTTAATTATATCACAGGATTTTTAGAATCGCTCTTTTAAAATTAAAAAACTTTAAGACTTATTCGCAGTGACTCTACTGTGAACTGAAAATGTTTCATCTTTGAGTACATTATAATTCTGATATGATAAGCTTCGCAGATGAGATAATGAATGGGGAAAGAGCCATTGTAAAGGGTAGGTAAGGTTCTTTGATGCGGTAGCTGGCGAAAGAATTTGATGTGTTTCTTATTACACTTAGAATCTGGGGTGAAATGATAGAAAGTTTCAAGTATGTTTTTAGCTAAAAAGGGTTGGCTCTATGATTTTACATAATATCCTTCTACAATACTTCTCGGGAAAGTTTTTCACGAAGAAGATAATCCCTTGTTTTTGCCGGTGCGTTTGCATTGTCTTGCGTCTTCTTTGGGACTTGACAGCCCATCATGGCAAAGCCCTGTCGTCGTGAAAATGTAGATAGGCATAAAGGCAAAAAAAGATTTGTCATGTTTTATCTAACGCGAAAGGAAAGTTTTCATACACATTGACATAAAAACACACGTTACAATTCCTTGCTGTAAAGAATTTTTGATTTCAACAACAAGGTGCTTGTTTATCCTCTATTTTCCCCATACCTAAGCTTTTTATGTTGCCAGTTTTTAGAATCTTTGCGGCTTGTTTTTGTTATGACTACAACTTTGTTAATTGAAGACAGAGAGACTTTTATAGGATTTATGAGGTCTCACAGTTAAGAGCTCTGAAAATGCTGTTTTAAGTCTTGCAAGGCGTCAATAGAATTGCATTCTGTTCTATGATATATACTTTACGCAACCATGTTTACTCTCTACTGGGATTAAAGTCTTAAAAACTTTATGAGTAGCAGTAGAGGAGGTTATTTTGAATTAGTGAACCTCCTATTTTTCTCACTTTGAATTGTCGTTTGTATTTCTTCAGTGAGGGGGATGACTACAGCAGCCGCAGACGCCACATGAGAAGACGTTCTCGTTCATACAGTCCCAGGTAATCACTGACATTTTTTAAGTTGAGAACTTATTTTCTAGGTTTTCGTTTCGCAAAGCGTTTTTAATTATTGTATATCTTGAATTTATGCAGCAGATCTTCCTCTCGTCGTCATCGTGATGACCGAGATCGGGATAGGGACCGCGATTCTGAAAGGTACAGAGAGAAGGGAGATAGGGATCGTGACAGAGATTCGAGGTCACGAAGGCATCGTTCCCGAAGCAGTAGTCCTTATGACGGTAAGTTGCCAAACGGTTTTTTACTTTTGCCTCTACTTTATGCCTCTGCTTATTGCTGGTTTTCAATTTTTCCTGCAGAGATTTGAGTAGCAATTATCGTTTTATAGAAATCAGTTTTGAAAAAATTTTTTAGGTTCTCGTAGTTCTCGGCGGAGAGACGAAAGAGTTGAGAAGGAGAAAGATAAGAAAAGAAGGGCAGATAAAGACAAGGAGGATGGGGATGAAAAAGACAAAGAGAGGAAAGATCGTGAGAAGGAAAATGAAGGTTCTAGGGAGCGCGATAGGGAAAAAGATAAAGAAAGAAAGAAACGGTAATGTTTTGTTCAAAATGTTTTCGGAATTATTATGATATTCTTTCCCTTTTATATCATTTCAGGAGTGTTTGAATTGTTAATTTTGGAATTATTGGGTTGACGTAGTTGATGTGTTACGCTAAGGGGAACAGTTGTCATTTTTGCCAAAAAAAGTTGTTGAAAAAAGTTTTTTTATGTTTCTGCTTTAGAAGACATAACAAGAGTGATGACGAAGGGTCAGAAAAACGTGAGAAGGAGAAGAAAAAATCAAAGCCTAAAGAGGAACCTACTTCGTGACTTTTTACCTGTATTCTTGTTAACTAGTTGCTTCACTTTATTCTGTTATTTTTTACCTTTTTTTTTTCGAGGAAGTGTGCACTTCATTGTGAAAGGTCGTTCTTTTACGGATGTTATGGGGCTATTAAAAGTTATTTGTTTTTCTTGTAGCCTTCTGCTAGTAACATCTAGCGTTAATTCAAAATTAGCAATCGACAAATATGCACTTATCTTCTCCAAAATAATAGAAGTTATCTTGCACAATTACAGAAAACATTCGGGTTGTTCCTGCGATATCTATGATATTTTTAGACTGTATTTAACTTATACTTTATTGTTGTGTACTTTGTTGCCAAAACAAAGAAGAAATTATAATTGTTGTATTTTGAGGCTTGAAAAGTGACAGTTAATATGGCATTGCGGATACTTGATGCTATTAATTTTGATTCAATCCTCTGATATGCGATGCACATTGACACTTACAACTATGAAAGAAATATTTTTCTAACGATGTAGTGTAGTGATTGCTGAATTTTTGCAAGAAGGATTCATTGTAAAAGATACGTCGTGTGTTTGGCTCGGAAGCTTCGTTAGGAAGCTGACGTGTTTTAGTAGTTTTACTTGTACATCGTTACGACTATCCAGGTTGGTGTATCCCTCAAGTATTACAGGTTGCGCAGTTTTTCACTGTTTGCTGAGTGGTATTTTTAACTCTTCATCATGTTTTTCTTCTGTGCTGACTTTTGAGTAAAGTGTTGTATTAAAAATGGTCACAAAGGGAACGTATAGGTTAGAAAGTTTTAAAAATTTTTCTGTTTTTTATTTTGGTTTTTTTCAGTTTTATCCAACAAGGAGTTCTGGTAGAATAAGGTCAAATTCTGTAGAGATATTTATACTGAAATGATCATTGGTAATGGGGGACAGTTTTCTGAGTTGCTTATCACCGATTGTATCGGAAAACGTTTGTTTGTTTTGTTTTTGTTTCTTTTTCTCAAAACAGTTTTAAAGAAATTGTTTTTTGCATCTTTTTATTGTTCCTGTTTACTTACACAGCTTACATTTTGTTATTTCTGTTCTGTATCTTATAGTCTTTTGAATATATTTTGTACATTTTCGTTGAAAAAAGTAATAAATGTGTTAAAGTTTTACTGATGCGCTTTTATATCCTGTTATGGGACTTAATTTGTAATAATACTGTGTGTATTACTGATACTTTGGAAAACAAAAACAACTTTTTTCGAAAATTTGCTGGATGCATATGTCAGGTAGTTGGAGGTAATTGAAAAGAGATGTACTGTATTCATGAAAGTTTTACAATAAGGCTTATTGAAAGTTTTTAAATTTTATAACCCACTTTCTTTCTTACAGTTCGGTCAGAAATGGTTGTAAAAGTTATCGGTTTCTAGTTTTCACCAGTTGATTCAAGCTAGTAAATTACGGTTCAAGTGTTGAATAATTTTAGTCTTCTAGGCAGACGCTGCTTACAAGTTGTAGCTCTTTTGGGAATAGTATCGTGTGAAATTCACAGATTGCAGGTTTTTTAGTTATGGGAAATTTCTTTTGGCCAATCTAAGTTCAAGTTTGGTTTTTTGACTACAGATTCCATCCTTTTCACTACGGAGGTGGGAAGTGCGACTATAATGCGCTGTTTCGTTCCGTTTTTGTCCTTTCACTTAACAGATTTCCGAATTATCCTTATTTTGCTGCCGCATCTGATCATAACTGTTTGAACTGCCGTTGGTTCTACTTTTTTGGTTCAGGCTAATCAATTCAGTAATTTTTTTCTCATCCACAAAAAGTTTTTAGATGGAATTTACTTTTGGTTAGCCGAGAGAATTTTCTTTTGCCGATATGCTTGGAAATAATGAAAAGTCTTCACAAGGGTCTTCAGTTATGACAAATAAACCTTGGGCTGTTAACTGTATTGGTTCAACAATTTCGCTTCCAATTGCACCGGTAGTTTTGGAGGATAGAAGTGGCATGCCTGATGGTACTTATCCAATCAGCCAAGAACAACTAAATGCAAGTTACAACTGGAAATTTAGTGATTGGTATGTGGCTTTTTCAAAGCTAAAGCATTCAGATGCAAAGAAAGTGCACTCTTTCTCTGACTATCCTTACATATATTTCTATTTTTTTCACTTCTTCTTATAATTGTGTGAATAAAAAGCGCAGTGAAAAAACCATGGAATTATTGAGTTCTAATGTACTCTACCGAAAAAAAACTTGTACATCTTTTTTTTATAAAGTGCACTTTTGAGGTATCCCCGTTGTTGCATGGCTTGCAGCCTTAACGGCTTATATCCTATACATGAATGTAGATGGCACGCTGCTGCCATTGCAGTACCTGAAGAAATCACATCATCGTGCGAAGAGATGGAATTGTGCGGTGAAACAGACTGCGATAAGGTTTAGCTTATTTGTGGCAGGAAGCGCACTAGTGCTCCACTTAACCATCAATATATAAACAAAGATTGTGACAAGCGTCTAGAATAAGCATGTGAAATTGAATCAGTTGCTGACTACTTAGTTACCTGAGTCATACTACATGCAGGAAATTGTGCTTTGAATTACTGGTTTTCAAAGTGCATGATGTTGTGGTTAATGAGGGCAATGAAGGATTTTGAAAGTTGTTGAAATCTTCTGGGGCAAAAAGTGTGGGGATAGGAGGACGATAGAGTCTTTGGAGCCATGGGAAGATTATGCTGGAGCGTAAAGAGTAACAGTAACGCTTCTAGTGTTGAATAATGAAGCAGGAAAAGGTGTTTCTAGGGCTTGAAAAGAAATCCGAACAGGTAGGATGAAAATTTCAAAAATAGAGATTTAGGTAATGGATAAGTAGTCGTCGGAGCACATTTGGTTAGTTTTTCAGAGCTGTTCTTATCTTTACTAGCTGGGTCATTGTGGCTCTTGAACACGAGAATAACTAAGGGTAGTGGGTTAAGAAAATTTTTGATAAAATTTTACATTGGGGATGGTTGCATCAAAGATATTAACTTAGGAGAGGACAGTGGCTCAAAAGTTTTGATAAACAGTGTTGTTTTAGAAATTTTGTTTCCAGCCCCGTCAACGGCGAAAACCAAACATTGGTGACTTACCTGATCACGTATTAATTACTGTTTTCGAAAATATTCACAGAGTCGAATTGACGCGTTCTATCTGTTTGGTGTGTAGAAGATGGAATAGGCTTACACAAACTCCAAGGCTATGGCGCGAAATCCGCATTGTTGTTTGTAATGAGCCATCATGTCTGGACTCAATACGGACATTTCTGTACAGAGTTAGTTGAGTTTATGTTATATCAGCTTCTGTACAAGACCTATCTTTGTTAGTGATTAGTAATTCAAGTACTTCTTCAAACTAGTTTTTATATTTGAGGGCTAGGAGGACAACATTTTACAAAAAAAGCTTACTATATGTTAAGTTCTAAAAATTATTTTGGCTAGTGAAAAGTGTTTTATCCGAATAACTAAATTTAGCCATTAGTAAGATTTTTGTTTAGTTACTAAGTTCTAGGTATGTCGGTTTATTCAGAAACTTTGTATATATATTTTGAACTGCGAGCCTATATCTGAAATGGACTTCATTAATCTGTTTCCTCCTCAGATGCTTGCTGTTACGGTGCTGGACATTGGCTTTTTGTGTTGTAAGCCTCCTCTTGATTTAAAATAATTTTTTCGGACAATGGAATATCGTAATCGCATTATTTTATCTATCGTACTTTTTTGTTTGAATTTATGCTTGCAGATTTTACGGTTCCAGTTGTCCAATTTCTTATTACTTGTTTCCCAAATGTTGAGAAGCTGAATGTGGAAGGTCTCAAAAAGGTAAGCATGAATAAAATAATATTTACTTCTGTGTCATAAATCACTTTTTATTATGATTTATTTCCAGGTTGATGAAGGAGCTTTCAAACTAATGTTTTCTGAAGGTTTCACTCAGCTAAAAGAGTTAATTCTCTCGCACTGTGAATCGCTAACTTTACAAGATTTCGATATGTTATGTAGAGCCGCTCATCCTTTGAGTGTTCTTAGCATTGACGGGATTTTAACTCTTCAGTCTTAGTAAAATTTCTATCTTAATTAATTTTGAATTTCAACATCATTTTTTATGGCAGTTTTTTAATAGCAGTTGCATGGTAAAAAGTTTTTAGTGCTGGTCTACGGCTAGCTGAATCTTCAATGGTCTCTTCGTTAACGAGATTATATTTGGATGGTGAGGAAATGTATGATGCTGCGTTTGGTGCCATAACTTGTTGCCGCAATCTAGAACTGTTATCAGTCTCTTACTGCGAAAGTGCAACTAACTTATCTTTGACATATATAAAGGTTGCGTTTATAATTACCTTTTGATGACCGAAGTAATCGGTGATTCTGTAGTGGCTTGGTCATGGTTACCTTAAATCTTTGTTCGCCTGTTTCGTTTCGGATTTGGTAATTTAATTGCTAGTGTGTTCTTTTTTGGTCAAAAGCACTTTTTTTGTATGCATTATAAACCAAAGTTGAGTTTTTTGTATGGTTCATATTTAATGATGATTAGAAGCATTCGCTCATTTCAACTTTGAACCCTGGTTGTTATTTTAGTCGCTTTCTAAACTGAAACATTTGCATTTACGCAAAGGAAAGGAATTTACGGAAGAAGGCTTGAAATCCTTTTTCGAAATAAATAATGGAAATCCTTCGTCTGCTCCAATATTTCCAGCCAAACTTAGGTACCTCAACCTTGGTGAATGTCCAGGAGTTAACGATGTAGTTGTCGATCTCCTTACAAAAAGGTTCTGATTTTTATCAAGACGACTCTTTCTGCGTGTTCTCGGAAACATAGTAATTTGAGATTTCTTCATTTTCCCTCTTAGCACTCAAAAACTAATTTTGATGTTCTAATTTTCTTCAAAATTTTGCAGCTGTCCTGAGTTAGTGTCGCTCTGTTTAGTTTGGTGTTGGTCAGTTACTGATATTGGTTTTACACACTTAGTGCAACGGTTGAGGTCGGTACTTGTATGCAATTTGTAAAAATTTTTAATTTGGGATTTGACCAACACACAAAAATAAGTACTTTTAACTCATTTTTTAGTAATTTGGAGTTTTTGGATATTCGCGGGATGGACTGTATTGATGGCCGCGCTTTACTGAAGGTTCCTAACCTTCATCTTAAAAAGTTAAGATATCTTGGTGCTGAACAGTGTCCCAGGGTACATTAGCATCATTTCTTTTGTTTCGCGGTATTATTGTGTTAAACTAGTTAATATTTCCATTTAGGAGTTCAGTAAATTTGAGATTTTTTCCTGCAGTTTCGTCATGACTTTTTTGCTTTATTTAAGGATAACTGCTAATAAATTTGAGGGACAGTGTAAACTGAAATTATTTGCTGATTACAAATTGCTTTTTCACCAGTAGTAAATCAGAATAGTTATTGTTATAGGTACAACACACTATCTTGATTTAAAGCATGCGCCAGTTAAAAGAAGAATTAATTTGTTTTCATAAATATTTATAACTCTTCTTTGATATCTGCTTCAGATTGAGGATTCGACCTTGCAAATTTTAAATCTTCAGAAGAAGGATTTGATTATATCAAACTACCACAACTATTTCATTACGTTCGAACTTTGCAATGGAATAGCACGATTTGGGGAGCGTTTTGACAAACAGTTTGAGGAAGCAGTTAGTGACGTGTTATCACGTCATGAAGGATATTGTTGTATGGCTCTTTAGAGAGTATATAACTTGTTTAATCCTATTATAAAGAGAAGTTACTTATTTTTTTATGATGAGCAGTGGAGTAATGAGCTAGTCAGAAGTAAACATGTAATGTATTTGTCATATCCGGTGAATCAACTTTCTTACTAAAATACTGAGTTGTGATTTTAGGTTAAAGCTTGTCTAGAATGTAACTTTGCTTTTGTTTACATAATAAGTCATGTTGTTATGGCTCTGAAACAGCGATGGATATCTTCTGTGATTGGGCGCTTGTTTTAAAAGATACCGCTTTTCTTTTGACTGCTGCAGTGCTTTCTTTAGGTTTATATTTAATTGCTGGTAAAGTGACATAATCCCTTTTTCATTGTTCTTTTGCTGTTACGGTAACTTTCACGAAGCATCAGAAGTGTAATTTTCGTTTTGTAAACTTTTTAGGCGTAATTAGAAGTTTACAATGCTTGCTTATTCGGAAAACGCGGCAGGAGTTAATTCAAGCCGCATAGGTGAGAGAATTTTATTTAATTGGTTTTTCGTTACTTGCATAATGATTTGACTTCCTTCTGTCAGAAACCTGACCTAACTGCCCTGGTGCTGCGTATGAAATTGTGGTTCCACTTGCCTTTTTTAAGCTTTTGGTCAGTTGCTTCATTTTGTTTGATTGGCTTGAATTTAGGCTGTATATTTGAAGTAGATTACTGGATGTCACTGAAAAGAGTTTAATAAGTAAGTAGCAAGCTATTTTGTATATTATTATAATATATCGCTGCCTTACTCAGGCAGCTCAAGTCATTCACATTTTGGACTTTATATTTCAGCGGAATTGGCAAAATTTAAGGTTTTTTACGAGCAATTTGAACATTGGTCGACCAGTTATTCGTTCCGATCAGGGAGAGGTTTTGTCTCTGTAAGGGTTTCCGTCCTTCTTAGACCATGATGTTCTTTTTCCTTCTACTTAATTTGATTGCTTATAATTCTTATCGCTATTTTTATCATCATTACCTTTATTACTTTAACCTTTATGATTATGATTAT